GGATATATTCTGATGCACGACATCGGACGTTGGATGTCAAGCTGCCAGTGGTGTCCATCAAGGTTCGTCTGCCATCTCATTCATTGTACTCTACCTTAAATGATGTTGTGGCTCGAAAGGAAAACAAAAGAATGGTGGGTACCTTAGCCACTCCAAGAATCGATGCATACATACATATGTCATGTTATGGCTACTTAGTTCAGGTTACTAGTAGTCGAAGTCAAATTATCAGTACGTTGGCTGCCAGTGATTTCTGGGACAGTGATGAATGAACATCGTATGATTGCTTTTCTTCATCATCAACTTTATGTATGAAGGTCCTAGAGGATCGGCAACAGCCGAGAGAGGGAGAGGAGCTTCCGCCACTTCTTCCATTTATTTGGTGTTGTTTCCAGAAAAAAATGGCTCAAAGGAGTACGATTGGGTCGGAGAGTTAATCCAGTCATTAATCGCCACAATAGCATAAATGTAGAAGTAGAGATGAGAGAAGACGAGGGTATGACTACATCTTATTGTTGAAATACTTACTAGTACACACTTGATGCCATTACTACAAGGTACCGTGTACACAACGAGAATCTACCAGCGTATCATCTAAGCCCCCTAAGTGCAGAGATATAGGGCCCGAGTATCTAAGGGATTTTTGATGCTACCATCAACAACTATCAACTCGTTGTTTGCTCAAACACAGTAAGCAGTGCGGCAGTCGGAAAGAGAAGATATCCACCGTAATGAATCATATAGGAACTTATATATGCATATTTTAAGTGTGGTTCCTCACCATCGAGACTCGAACCCAGACTCCTTTTGAAGAGCCTCTTGCGGGTACATACGTTATATGGTTAGCGAATATGAACAATATCGATATCGGCGGAAGGAAGTGGATTTGGGAGCCGCTCCGCAGAAACTTCGAGGCTGAATAAATCCAAACGATACTCAAATGGATCTCGGAAGACATTGAAAAAGGCAGAGTCGATTCCGTCGGGTTTATGTACAAGGTAAGGGAATGTTGAATACCAATTGGGTCAAGTGGCAAATATGATCGTCTATTGTTCAGGGACGATGGAACGGATGAGTCGGGCGCTTGTGCGTGTATACTATGTATGTACATATGTCGGGATGAGGTAAGCTCCAGTCTTGTAGATGTCTACGTTGAAGGTTGTCGGACGATGGAAACATAGAGAATAGCTTAAATACGGGGTCTAATCCCCCTTTTTACAGAGTTCTTTCTTCCAGAATTCCAGACGTAGAGGGAATTCAAATAACGGATTTGCTTCCGCCATGTAATATACCCATAAGCCACCCAAACAATTTTGACAGGCTCATTTCACGTGTCGCGTCGCGCATTGGCCCTACTTTAGAGTTTTGAGTCGCTACATACTGAGGCTAACTCCATCGTACTTTTCCATGTTTGACTTTTTGTCTTTTAGTCGAGATTATTGAAAAGTATTCGGCCCGAAAGACTAACCGAAACTCCATGTGGTGTTAGTGGCGTTTCTTGCTCCTTTGAGACGCTTTGAACAAATCCTTATTGTTAGTGTAGAGTTTTTCCTTTCAAGCTTGGCCCAGGGAAATCACAACAATGGGTGATTTCCTGTGAGGTATACAGAACAAAGAAGAGGTTTTGCGGGGTTTGAGAAGTAGAAAATTCGAGAAAAAATTTGCATGTCCGAGTCGGACCGTTGAGCCCAGAGGATTGCCAACATATGGGTTTTTGAGGTACAAACCCTCCTGGTTATCCGAAGCTGTATGACTTGTAAGGGGGAGGAGTTGGACAGGAAAAATGCAAGTTATATACAAAAAGAGGTAAGTTTGAGCATGAGTTATATGTGACTTTTATCCGATGTTTATGTCCGGAGAATGAGGCAGGAAACGTTGCAAAAAATACCCTTTCATGCGATACAAAACGCCGAAAGTAAGACAGCTCGATCGAAGAATTTTACCGTAGCCTGCCTTTCAGTTCCCACTGGACCGGCGGCTTCATTTGCGCCCGGTTATGTGACATTCATGTAATAAAATGTGAATTCTTTTCAACATCGAGGACACGTCGGCTCGCGCCAAAGTTTCTCAGGCAGTCGGGATTATCAATTCCTTTCTAAACGATGTCTTTCTCGACGTAGACACGTATAAACTTGAAGTAAAAGTCGGGGGAATCCAAGTGGGGGTATGTGAAATATGCGCACGAAAACATGAACGCGTCATCCGATGGTCAAATATCGGTGGAGTTAAAGGTGGACCTAGGAGGCACTGTAGCTAGATTTGGCCACACTGTTAAGTAACGCACTTTCGGGGAAGAAGTATCAAATATTTCATCGGTATCTGATCAGTCTGGACTGAGGGTTTTTCGGTTTTCTCTACCGCAACTTTTCCATGATAGAGTCCAGATGAAGTCCCGGCCATTGCATAGGTGTAAACAGTAAAGGCCCCACAAGAGTGTGAAAAGTGAAAAGACAATAAGATAGTGAATCACTAGGTCCCGTTAACTTATTAGTGATTTATTAACATGGTCAGGGAAATACCGCATGGGACGCGCCGCACGGCGCGTGACCGCGTCCCGCCACATCTGGAGAAAGTTTCGTTCCGGGATCCGATGCCGCGTTGGTGGCCAGACTCTCACTGACACCGACAACTGTTCGAGTTACTCCCAGTGGCGAAGTTATTTCGAAAGAGAACGACTGTCGAGCCGTAAGTTCCGCTGTCTCTCACATATTTCAATAGTGATGAACTTCCGCTCTCCATACCCCGTTATCTTTCCTTGTATTATTCCTTGATTCATGCGTTTAGCCATGAGATCCGTAATACTCAATGAATCAAAATCCAACGAAATCTTGCCCTTTTTTGGAAACGTTACCGTCTATCGAGTGTTCGTTGAAGTAACTCTGAATATAGTACAGCATCATTGATTAATACTGCGCATCTATCTTCCTCAGAGACAACCGAGGGGTAGGCGGCAGAAGCCTCGGATTTGATGGATTCGCTCGCACATTTCGAGCTAATATTTTTATGGTGTTGTCTCAGGCTAGAAATCAGAAGCGTTGGCTGGAAGTTGGGCCTCGTTCTGTGCTTCATCCTTCTGTTAAGTTCTCAACCCTACATACACCGCCTCGTCTCTATTCAAGGGTACTCTCCTTCAATCATCTTGTTGAATTGACAACCTGTCAACTTTCAAGTTTGGGTAATGATCATAAATATCATCTTTCTTTCAATCCCTACATGCCCCTATCAGAGCTTGGTATGTTGAGTTGATTTACTAAAGGCAGCCTCCTTGGTATGTTTACAACCATCCGATATCCTCGAGCTCTGTCTTCCATCAACTGCGCGTTCATTAATGATTTCGAACAGTTCTGCAGAATATGTTGTTAGGCCCGACGGATCACAGTAAGTATTCTACACATCATGTCAAGAAAGTGTTCACGTTCATTTTCCATAGTTAATGTACGCTCAAAATGCTCAACGGTAACATCTTCACGTTGGGATGCGTTCAATATATGAAGAGGTTGCGTCGGGCGCGTCGGACCGTCTGACGTCAGCGTTCCCACGGCGGACACCCCGAGTCATACGGACTTTATGGCCGTTTCTTTCCAGATCTGAGACTTGTTTCTTCATCCATCATCTACTCGAAATATCTCTCTCAGATTTAACCGGTCCCCTGTGTTCTGATGCCTCTCTATTCCCATCAGTTCAACTTCCTTCACTTTGCCGTGATAGAATGCTCAAGACATGCAAAGTGACCGGATCATTCATCTGTTACTTCTCAGCACTGAGTTAAGTACAAGTCTTTCATTTCCTTGAACTCTGCACACAAATGAATTGCGATCGATATAGCGTGTAGCAAGAAGTGACTTATCACCGCAACCTGATCACACTACGGGCAAGAACGACTTTCCGCAGTGAGGAAATCGTGAGGAAATTTTGAGGAAATTGTGATCGAGCGTTCCTATTGGTCGATCACAATTTCCTCAAATTTTCCTCACGATTTCCTCACCGTGGAAAGTTGCTCTTGCCCGTAGTGTCATATAGACTGGATTGGCGTGTGTGTGTGTGTGGACGCAGCACGAACCAAGGATGAGTCACGTCGATGTAGGCTTTAAGGCTCCTTACAGCCGATTTTGGTTACTTGAGTCCAAAGCCTACGCGAGTCCTGTCAACAGATGCCCTAGCTATATACACTGGTTCCTAGAAGGACCTGACGGAAGGATGTAAGCTTATTACCGTCATTTTCATTTCTGCTAAACCGAAGGTCCCGAATCTGTACGACCGTCTTCTAACAACATTGCTAGCAACCATAATTCATTCACGGTTATTGTCAGGCAGGACCCCCAAGAAATTATCTCAAAGGTACGCATATATCCGATTATGTCGTGAAAGATTCCCTCATCACTGTTTCTATGTTAAAGTTCTGGGTTCCTGATCGGCCTCGTCGCTGCCTCGTTGAACCCGCACCTTCAGTCAAGTCTTTGCTGATACATTCAAAGTTCAAAAACAGAGTAGCTGTCAAAAGTTTTGACATGTTTGAAACTGCAAATCAACTCTGGTTTTCCTCGTTCCTTCAAATTTATAGACTCCATTAAACGTTGCAAGCCTCGCTATGTACATGGTAATGATAACTATCGCAAGTACATGTGTTTACACCACCGCCGTCATCCCTTATTCTGCGCGAGTACGTGCATCTGATGTCTTCCACTGTGTTGACAAGCTGAAGGTCAGAAAAATTCACAACAGAAAACGAGTCTTTCCAGAATCCGGTTAATATTTTTACCCTTGACCAGCTGTATGTATTATGACTCTTTGCTACTCAAGATACCCCGCGACTACTAGGCTTTCTCCGTCCTGTTAAGAAACAAGCAAGAAACATTCAGCACCTATTTCAGAATATTCCTGGTTTAATGGTTCTTGTCAGGTATCCCGATGGTTCAAGATTCGAATCCTCATAGCATTCCGGCGTCTGTCTCTCCTTTCAACAACTAAATACATCCATCCTATAGTCATTCGACACCACCGGGCACATGGTGTAGTTGGTTATCACATCCGCTTAGCATTGAAGCTCCTGCGGGGGGTGCTGGGTTCAATTCCCAGTGTGTCCAGCGATACCTTCGTTGTTTTATTATCTCCTATGCGAAGTGAACATTACTTCAGACATATGGGTCACTGAGCCAAATTTATACTACTGTCGTAAGTACATTACTAGTGGTGGAATTTGAATTTGAACAGATCTTCGCATCCTCTTTCTTGAAACCATTACAAGACTGAGAAAAATACCGGAACCTCGGTACCGTCGATTTTTCAATTACAAGTACGATTTTATCGAATGGACCTCAGGAGCATATACATACGTACCAAACAAGTTTGACTTCAGGTCAGGTTTATCATCTCATAAAAATATGTCGCGAACCTACTACACTTCACCCTTCACTACCGTTTTCCGAGCTTCCGAGTCGGTCTCCGAAAACATTGATATGATTAGAGATGCGTTTCCACGAAAAGGTCCCAAAAGATCAAAGAATGTTTTCCTGCCGCTAGGAGGAATCGCGGTTAGGATTATTTTGCGGAGTGAAGTTGACGGGCGGTCTAGGCTCAAATCTGGTAAGTGCCATCAAGTTCGATGATACTGTACGATTTCGATCAATTCGCTCAAAAGTGGTCATTTTTTCGGTTTTGATAAATCTCAGAAAATCCGAAAAGTCGAAAGAAAAATAATGGCGGGGTTTTTGAAAATGGTGCGTGACGCGTGACACGCGAATTGATCGAAATCGTACAGTATTTCAACTTAAGCAACGATTTCCGTAGTCAATGTTACGGAGCTGCAAGAGATCTGTACGTGACGCTCCGGACTCTGACTCGCCACTGCATATAGATGTATGGATCTGTATGAACCTGACTGAGATTTAGCCATCAACGGACCGACGCTTACATACGACAGTATAGATCCACAGGAGATTCGGGGAGATTTAACAAGGGCTTTGAAACTCCCGACGCTGTAACACAAAGGAGCTCAATAAAAGACACCCATGGTATTGCTGAAGTCACCGCCAAAGCACACGAAGGGAGATCTCTACAATAGATGCAACAGATTAGCCTCTGTGTGATGTCCCACCGCTAGACCCTCTACTTGGCAGTTAAGGATCTCTTATGGGGCTCGTAAAATTGAGTGCGGATGTATCGCAGATACAAATGACGGGCATCCGGGCTAGTTTTTGTTCGATCTTCTCCCTAAACAGATTTTAGTGAGATCCCCGTGCAGGCATTGAGAACACTATTCTGCAGGCTATTTTTACAGGAGATCCAAATACATCTGTCTCTCTTCGTCAATCACAGAAATAATTATAAGTAATGACGAGTTGTTTGCAAAAAGCACACTTTTTCCTACCTGGCATAATCCGACCTGCCTGGTTCGAACAGGCGACCCCAAGATTGGCAACCAATTACAGTCTTGTGCTCTTCCAACTGAGCTAAGGTCGGTGTTGTTCCAGTTCGTCGCACAGAAAATGTGTCTCAGTATTCTCTGAGCAACCCCTCGAAGTCCGTCCTTATTGTTATGATTGGCACTGCGACCATCATGATGATGATGCTCCAGGCTCAGCTCGTCCCGCCTCTTTCCCATTCAATGCTCTAGTGATGGCTAATATTTATTCAATACTTATTTTCGTGACCGTTTATCCACCAAAACTTATTTCACAAATGGAGCATGATGAAGATTTAGATGAACGTATCCATACGAAAATGGCTGGTATAGGAAAAACAGGGATGAAACGACCGCGAAAAAATCTTCATCAATTCAGGGTGTACAGTATCCACAAGATATCGCAGGTGCGCGCCTGAAGGTCTCCCTGTTCGGATCGTCTTATATCCATGTCACTCGCCCTGCTGAAACGAGAAGTTGCACATACACACTGAGGGCGGTGTCGGCCAGGTACATGCCGAAAATGTGACTTGTGGAGATCTTTGAAGGTGTGCTCTCAACAAATCAATCATCCTTTACTACCTCTTACATCAGTAATGATCAAACGTACTTTACCCATTTCGCATCACTGAAGCATGCGCAGTTGATACATTTGAGGGACGAAATCTTTCTGTTTCCCCTCTTGATGTCAATATCTAACAAGTCTCAGAATACATCTGAGTGTAATGTCACGGTTAAGCGTCAACAGCGGGACGAAGGGCGGGATGGAGCGGATAAATTAAGATGATGGTTTGGGCGTGAAGCGCACATGGAAACCATTCAAGGACTTAACTGATTGACAATCCCCAAGTGGGTAGATCTGGCGCAAGCAGTAATTCTGAATTCAGGACAACTTCGGATATAGGCTTGGAGATTCCCGTGATGGGTATCACAGTGGCGCCCATTATCGGACAACGGGGACATAATGATATATGTACTAAACTGCAGATACCTGATATGCACTGTTGTGTCTATTTTGTTTTGACACCAGCTAATTATGACGAAATTATGAAAGCCACAAAAGACCTCCAGGGTCATGCACAGCTTGGTTGGAGAACATACGTATACCATTGAAGAAGGGAATGTTCATTTGTTCTGTAGAAAGCAAAGTTTAATTGAGTTGGAAGCCTGGAATAAGTGTAGACCGTGCTCATATATCGTGTTGAGGAGTTTGCATGAGAAAATGACACTGGAGTGTGGAATATGTCGCAGTTTGCGAAGCTCGGAGGATAACGTAGGACATAAAAGTGACAGCGAGAGTTGGCAACAGGTGGCAATTCGAAGAACCTAAAATATATAAGTTTAGCAAACAAGCACGATGGAGGTAGCATCGTATCCAAGTCAGCAAAATTACCACTAGAAACAGAGAAGCAATCAACGTAGTTTAACAAAAGGTTGGCGAGACACACCATGTTTGCAGTAATGGAAGAAACAAGATTTTGGATACGCGGTACCCGTTATCATCTACTGTCGAATTCCAAGTATTTTCCGTGTCATTCTCTTCTCCATGCCACCTAGAAAAATTCCATTGCAACATGAATATGGACTTCTCCATATGTGTCCGCTCATACTTACCCCAAAGCCGATAATCAGGAAAACTTCGGACATAGACTTGGAGATACCCGTGATGGGAAAGCACAACATTTTACATACCATATGCGTGTACAACTCGACGATGTCATATGAGTATCATTCAATCTTGTCCGTTCATCTTGTTTCGCTCTAAATCTAGAAGGTGGCAGTAGAAGAGACCGGAGCCGCAGCTAGGAGTCACAACTGGGAAAAGAATGTACAAGTAGAAAAGATTGGATTAAGTGTAAACCATGCATGCCTACATTGTAGAGACTCGGATCATTGGAGATGAAGCCTGCAAAGAGAAGCGTACGGAACGGAACGGAACGGCGGCGAAAGGAAATGAGTTGTCCAGGAACTGGAGGAAGGGCAATAGTTTGCTAGGACTGGTAGTTACCTGCGACGTGACAGTCGCAAGAGGAAGTCAAAGTCTTCTGAGATGTAGTCATACTCCAAGCTTTCACTAGGTTTTTCGCTTGTTTTTCCTTCGTCTACGTCCTTAATCCAAGTTGAACAGAATCTGGTTTGGGATATCGAGGAAATTTTTGAAAAAAAAATTCTCAGACCTTGACTCGAGTGAATTGTAGGTCTTGTTTCCGTCACGATCCCTAGTAGCCTACAAGACGAGCATTCGAAGAAGAGAAAAGTCTTGGGGAGAAGACCAGCGCCCTTGAACATCGAACAGCATTCGATCTCAAATAATTATTCCTGTCTAGCGACACAAAAGTTAAACTTGAAAGAAGCTATGTAGTCAGTTGGGAGCTTGGAAGATTCGGCATCGTGTAGAAGTCCGGTGGAAGTCGATCCTGTATGTTACCGGTCCTTCGTTGAAGTTCGAGCTGTTGATCGTGAGAGTAAGAGGCAAACATTTCCTCAACTCGAACGATGCTCAGTCAGCTCTGTGCTCAGTCAGCCTTGTTTGACCAAGACCACACTAGCTATAAATTCTTTGAAGCTATGACGTCCAATTCGACGCACTCAATCTCCACCTCGTCTTCAACGCTCAGCTCTCATTAACTACTGCGATCTTCAAGCTACAAGTCAATGTCAAAAACACACACGGCGATTGCCTGCACCTCTGTCGGCCATTTTGACGCGATACAAGTCCCAACTGAGAGCCCGGGAGATCATGAGGTCTTGCTCAAGATTGAATGCGCTGCGATGATTCCGTTTGACACCTATGTCAACGACTATGGATATATCACCCCAAGTTTTCCGATGATCTTTGGTTTTAGTGCTGCAGGAACGATTGCAGAAGTTGGAAAAGGAGTAGATGATTTGAAGGTTGGAGACAGGGTGAGTCGTTGACACGCGTTAAGTTGCTTCTAGATCGACGTCAACGCGACTTTTTTCTGTCTAGGTGACTGCCTACACCTACGGAGAGTCGCGTTTGAAAGCTACACAGGAATACTCCGTCCAACCAAGACATGTCTGTGCAAAGGTATGTATATTCGATCCAAGACCCACAAGTGTACACGCTCATCTCATTTCTCACCCAATCCTTTTTTGCTTTTTTTCAGATCCCTGACTCCCTCTCTTTCGAAGCTGCCGCGACCATTCCGGATAACTTCGTTACCGCCTTTAACGCATTGTTCAACACTATCAATTTCGCATTACCCGTTCCATCCTCATTTCCAGCAACAACCGAACCACCTCTTGCGCACAGCCCGATTCTCGTTTATGGCGGAGGCTCGACTTCCGGTCAATACTCTATCCAACTTCTTCATGCCTCCGGATACAAGAATACCATCGTGACGGCCTCCCCTAAACATCACGACTACCTTCGTTCTCTCGGAGCAACGCACACATTGGACTATCGTTCGCCCGATTTCGTGAAAGACGTCACAGCGATCGTTACTGCAAGTCCTGGAGGAAACAATGATGGAAAAGTGGATTTGGTGCTCGACTGTATCACAGCAGAGTCGACGTTGAATGCGATAGGCAAAGTCGTCAGTCCTCTCGGGACTCTAGCAATTTTATTGCCGGTGAAAGAGGGAGACAAGGTTCGTGGAACTGAGAAGATGTATATGGAACTTCCGGAGCAGATGAAAGGGTTGATACCACAAGGGACAA